TAAGTGTGCTGCTAGGATGGGGAAAATGAGTAAATGGCTTCATGTTGTTGGTCATTAAATAATTCCAGAGTTTTCTTTGTCCTGTTAAATGACTCGTCTTTTGTCTAATGTTTTTTCTTCTCAATCTTTTCTTTCTCATGGCTCTTGTCTCTGTTCAGGCGGTGAAGCTGTCAGCGCTGCAGCCCATCTGACGAGGATGAAATGTTGGCTTTTGTGAAGTTACTGGTGTCTCGTACAAAAGGGAACTATGGTGGAGGATTGCAGTAGTCACACGTGCCTTATTGCTACCAATCAACGAAGACCTCAGCCTAGCGGAAAGAACGAGAGGAACCGCGTGCCTCAGTCATTTTCTTTCTATGATGAGCAAAGACTCCTCTTTCCAGCATATATATGGTTTTATATTAAACTAAGTGCGAGTTCTATTTTTATATGGATTTTGGAGACAGAAGGATGAAGTTATTTGGACCAGTCTTTTCTCTTTTCTGTTGTTTTCAACATTTTTCTACTTTCCCACTAGCGGTCGCTGCCTGCGTCAGTGTTTGTTACATGAACTATCTGGATTATCTGATACTTAATATACAGTATTGTAACAGCCAATTGGATTTTCGACACTTTCTAAAATGCCGTTTGTCTTACAAGTAGTTTTTACATTAATACTGGAGTAGTGAGTCCAAGTTTACAGGTCAATTTTTTTTGTTTTTTTTTAATATTTAATGACTTGGTTCACTTGTTTTTTTTTATCTCAGTTTAATTCCTGGCCTGCTTCCCTCAGATTCTAACCAAATCTGTCACCCATAAGGGCATTTATGTCTCGGACCAATAAGGAGAGCTTTGGGCTCTCAGTAAGGATCCTGTTAAATAGTAACAAAGCACAAAAAAAGCAGGAATGGGTAAAGCTGATATTATTGTTTGGTATGAGATACCTGCCAGTCTGTTATTATTGGCATTTAATATTGCAAAATTTAAAAAGTAAAGAGATGGGGGACAATTTTCTTACAATGTCTTGACATTGCAGATTTTTTCCTGGGGGGGCACTCTGCAACGTTCCTGTTGACACGCGCTCAGAATTCCGCAAACAATCAGAGCAGGCAGAACGTGAACAAGTAAATAAATCACTAGATATAAGAAATGTTAAAGAAAGCGAAAGCGGAGTTTTAAACCACCAAATATCAGTATCAGTCTCAGAAATCCTGCATCACTCAAGCTCTAGAATAAAGATCTAAATAAACCTCTGAACATAGCTGTAGAATATGGTATTATCTAAGGAAATAATATAGTTGATTATATCTGTATATCACACCAACCAAAGTCTACAGTAAACACGTAAATGTTTTTTGGGAGGAAAAATCTAGAACTCTAGAGGTTTAGAGTCCAGGTTCCTCCACACTCTAGACTGCTGGGCTCCAGAGCTGCAACTTTAAAATACAATAATAGATTTCAGACCTCTAGAATCTAGATTTGCATAACAAAATTTTGTGACATGAGGTCTGGAGCTGCTTTACCTTATTCAGAGGTATGACAGCAAATGAGTTATCTCAGTTAGAACAGCAGCACATGATATTCACTAAAACGTTGTTCTAGTCCATCTCGTTCTGTGGACCAAACCGAAATGCACACCAGTGAGGAAAAAGGGTGGGAATTTGCTCAGGGGAACTTTGGTAGTATTTTGTTCTTTGCTCTAACGATTTAGCCTTACATCCTTCTGGTAAATTAAGACAACTCTGACTTCCATTTTTCTTTAAGGGCTTTCACGCTACATAATAGCACAACTCCATCAAGCCTCAGAGGACACACTGGAGGGCCTTACAGTAGCTCTGTGCACAGCGAACTCTGTATCTGTTGTAGCTTAAAGTAGTGCTAGCATGTTAAATTACCATCACTATCCTTTCTAACAATGAATTACAGATAGCATGAGGTTTTAATCCTACTCTGCTTTGTTGGTACGTCACTACAGATGCCCGTTGGTTTTCACCACCATGCTGCTCAACCAGTCAAATCCAATAGTGAGCAGATTGTATTCAGTTTCAGTCCCACATTACAGTAATTTTTTAGTCTGTAGTCGTCATGTGTACCTAACCTTACACTGGAAAAAGAAGAAACCACACATTGTCCATCCTTTGAACTTATTTCAAACACACTCCTGAATATAGATCTGTTGGGGATCTATATCCAGGAGACTCCTGTTACTTCTGGCTTACATTATCACCAGGGATGCAAACATAGCCTGTGGAGTCGCAATAACAACATTAATGGGATTATAGCATGGTATTTCTGTCTTATATTATTAAAGTGAATTGAAGTGATGGACCAAAAACCTGCAATACCAATTTTTTAAACCACTTGAGAACAGTACAAACAGCTTGTAAAGTTGTTTTCACAAAAGTGACACAATCCAAGTCGGTGTCATTAAAATTTCTAAGCAAAGTGTTGCTTGATTTAACAGCAGACAACACCAATATTCAGTTGGAGTGGAGCTCCTGTCCGCCATGTGACGCCAAGTTCTTTTATCTCTTGTTTTGGTCTTCTCCACCTATGAAACCTTAATTGCACAAATCGGGGGGAAAAAGCAAACAGATACATTGCAAAGTTGACATGTCAAAGTATTAGCTCAGATGTTTGAAAGTTGAAGTTAGAAAGTCAAAACTTTGAACTATGGATGGCATTTTTTTTCTTTTTCCAGTAGCAGAAATGAGCTTTTGTATCCACCTAAGACTGTAAAGCCTCCAGTCTCCTTTCACATGATTGTTGCCCTTTCAAAAAGATGTTAACATAGTGTTGAAAATACTGTATGAACATTTTGGCGTCTCTGACGGAGAATGTTACCACATTCACTTCAATTCTGAAGCCTTTGCAGCACAAATGTCATTTCTTATGTCGTCCAGCTTACAGTGAGTCTCTGTTCAGTCTATTTGCAGTGTGGTTGTTTTGTCATTGTAATTTATTGTGGGGAGAAAACAATGAGTGGGATATGTATGTGTCTGATTTTGTGTTTGTTTTATTAAAGAAGTTTTGGAAATGAAACACAAAAAGGCTTTCTCTTTGTAACACAGTACCACATTTTGAGCAGAGACTATTTTCTACACACCGATAGCCTACTAGCTGTTAGAAGTACCTGGAATGTGTTTCTCTTACTTCTTTAACGAAGTCTTAACAGCCCTAATGAGTGCTTCGTCCTCTGAGGCCAGAAGCACTTTAGAATAAATCCTTGTATTTGTTCTCTGACCAAATGGGCCGTATTGGCCGCTCATTAATTTCACTGACCCATCCTTTTCTGGACAGATGGCTCTTCTGTCACATCATTTGGAAGGAGTAGTCGTAAAATAAACCAATAAAAGCACTGCCAGCAGACCGCAGTCGCTTTGTGCTGTTTTTAACCCTCAATCAAACCTAATTTAAAAACCAGCGTTTAGCCTCGCACTCCGGGAGCTGAATAAAGAAATGAAAAGTGTATGATACTGAAAATATACTTTTTATTTTTGAGTGCATTCACACGACTTAACAATTTAATATGGATGTTAGTGATCAGCAGTGTAGTCTCTTTCTCCACAGATGCAAAAAACTCTGCTTGTTAAAATCAGCCTATAAAGCCTAATCAGAGCTGGACTTACAGCCCTCCTGTCATTGTCTATATACTGTGGTATATTTAGACATGCATGCAGAAAACATACCTATTCTTCTCTGTTAACTTACTACTCAGATTGTAGCTTTATTCTTCTACTTATGTTGGAGACAGAAAGATTTAACCAGGAATATTTTCTTCTGCTCTTGCTGATTCTTCTTAGAAAGTGCACCAGTGTGTGCTTTTGTCTATGGAGTCTATTAATGTGCTCTGCTGGCTTAAATAATCTGTGGATGATCGTGAACATTTACAGCGAATTTTGTGACAGCCTGCCAAGCTCCGTTTTGTCAGGGACCGCGGCTCAACGGGACCTGAAAGGTCCTCTGGAGACCCTGTTTGTTTAAAACTAATGAAGAAGCGGAAAAAGCTGTCAGAATATCTCTTTCAGCAACAGACTGACTGACCACAGTTTTATCCTTTCATAGTCATCCCTGTGGCGCCTGCACTGCAGTAGACGACAGTGTTTGCATTCATCTGTTCTGTTGGTTTTTGAGCGAATGAATTTCAAACAATAGTTACTGAAAATCTGGAAGGAGGAAGAAAATTTCAGAACTCGGCTTGCATCCGATGTGGACAACGGATCAGCAGGAGGCACGATCGAAGATTGCAGCGGTCCCAGATCCAGCTGTACACACTGGAATATGTCCCCATGTTGCTCGTCTGTGTTTTATTGTGTTATGGTGTGACGATATCTGTGCATCCTTTTTCTCCTGAATTACCCTTTTGTGTTACACATTTCAATGTTTTTCCTTTTACTACCTAGCCTGACCTGTCTCCCCAATGTGATGTTTGTTGTAGGGAAAAAAATCAATCCGAACATTGGAGGAGTTAATCAAGATTTCTTTCTTGTCCTTAAAAAGTTTTGGTATCTAGCATCTTTGTTGGCAGCTGGCATTTCTCTCTCCAGGTGGTGACAGTACATCATACTCTGCCAGAAGTACTAAGCTGTTCTCTCTGATTTTTCGGACTCTAACCAAATCTCCACACTCCTGGACGTGGATCAGTCCTATCTCTCCTCTCCCATACTCTCTCTCCCGATCGTTCAGGGTCACCGCTGTCCGTTTTCCACAAGCCTGGCGGTACAAGTACCTTATTCCAACCACCAGTACCATACCCAAACCAGCTGAGCTGCCCAGCAGCATGCCCAGCTCCCAGGCACTGTGTCTGCGTACGTCTGGATATTTCCCTTCCTTGTCTGGAGTTGCAGGAGGACTGGAGGGATGTTTAGCATCACTATTTGGAAGCTTTGGTTTCAACTCGTGGCCAAGATTTTCCTCGATGTTAGGGTGGGGTTTGGGGTTTGGATGAATGTCTGTTCTTGGTGTTGGTGGGTGTATACTTGGATCAGGATCAGATGATGCAGTGTGACCTTCAGTATGTTTCTGGGAAGGCGAGGGCATGGAGAGGTTGTACAGAGAGCGACGGGGAGCTGGAGAGGGTCCTGAATGAAGGGAGGTATCCTGGGCAGCAGGCGGGGAGGTTACAGATGGGATATAAAAAGAAGAGGTACCTTGATAGGAGGAAGAAGTTGCTGAGGTCGAGCTTGATGAAGTGGTGGAAGAAACAAAAGAAATGGAAGAATTTGTTGAATTTGTGATGCACTGGGAAGAGGTAAAGGTAGGCAAGGGAGCTGGAGTAAACAAGAGATCTGATGATGGATGGTTAGAAGTATATAAATAGGGTATAGTAGACGAGGCAAAGGAGGATGGCTGTGGGGAAGTGGGGGTAGGTTGAGAAGATGACAAATAAGGGGGGTTGGAGATTGGAGAAGGGGAGGGGAGAGCAAAACGAGCTGATGACGTTGTCAGTTGGTTTCTCGTGAAGGAAGAAGGGATGACAAATGTAGACCTAATGGATGGACGCATAGTTACAAGGGGTAAACCTCCAGAAGAATGAGGAGAATTGGTAGACCTATCGTTAACTGTAGGGGGCAAAGTATTGGAGAAGGAGAAAGATGAAGCGGAAAGGGAAGGAGTGGCTGAGGGCAGAGCAAAGACTGGGTGCGTAGTTCTGATCTTTGCGTCAGACTTAAGGTCCACGTGACTCTTTTCCAGTATGGGAGTTTGGTCAGTCCTCAGTGTAAAGAGCAGTGGGTTAAAGAGAGACTCTGAGGATGGAGTTTGTTTCTGTTTCTGTGGTTGAGGAGAGTTGTTTGAAACTTCAGGTGATATCTCAGACTGGGAGTAATCTGTCCGAGGAATGCTAGTTTTACCCTGACTTTTAGTTGTAGTAGTTTCTGGCATGTCTTGGAGAAATGTTCTGATATACTCACTGTGAGGAGAGCTACTTAGGACAGTAGCTGTAGTTTGAAGCTTAGAGAAAGGTGTAGTGGTTTGCTTTGGGCTACTTTTGGTTTCTAAAGGGTTGTTTTCAGAGTGGGTAAGGGATGATAGTGTGAGAAAGGACTTAATGGTGGGAGATTTGGATGGTGGAATGGAGTGTGGAGACGAGGTTTGGAAACGAGAAAGGAATTTGGATGAAGATGCTGGGGGAAATGGATAAATATGACTCCTACTAGTTTGGGACCGTAGAAGAAGTATGGATGTTTCAAAATGACTAATAGGCTTGGGTGAAGAAGTTTGGGAGTGAGGATTTTGAGACCCGATACCTATTTCTGATTTAACTGCATTGGTTTGGGACTCAGTTACACTAGTCCTGTGAGGCTGGACTGAACCACTCTGGGTCTTGAACTTTGCTGAACCTTCTTCTTCCTGGATTGCTGTTTTTGGATTCTGGGTTGTGGGTTTTGGGAGCTTTATATTATAAAAACTGTGATTAGTTGAGTGGTTTCTGGTGGTGACATCTTCTAATTCAGGTTTGTTAGGCGCTTTTGGATCTGGTAAATGTAATTTTGGAAGTTCCTCTTCCTTCAGAGGGATGACAGGAACAAGAAGGGGAAGAGGACTACTTGAGGCTTGCACTGTGTTGTTTAATGAAGAAATGGTGGTAGTTTTCATCCCTGTAGCCTCAGGAGAGAAGAAAGATGCTGTCAAAGGACTTGAGCTCTTGGGGTCCTTCGGTTGAGGAACGGGGCCAATTTGTGCCTCTTCAGTCACACCTGAAAATGATCTTAAAGGTGTTTGAGAACCAGTTTGATGATATTCTGAGGTCATATTCTTCTTTTTACTGACTTCAAAGGATGCCAGAGTCACAGAGCTGCTCCTGTCCAAGGCTGGATGAGTTGTTTCTGTTGTTGTTTTCATAGATTTGTAGTTGTAAGGTCCACTTCTTGCTCTCGTAATAAGTTGTAGAGTAGTATCTGGTCTATTTGTCGCATTTGTTTCTTTCTTTGATGCTTTAAATGCTCTGAGAGCTGCAAGACAACAAGGTGAGGGAAAAGAGTGAATAGAGAGGCGACGATTGTTCTGTTTCAAAGCACCTAGCTTGCATTTTGTCCCACATTTACCATCACATAATAACTATGTAAATCAGCTTACTTGGCAGGGCTGTAACTTTGTCTTGCAGTAGTGCGGAAATTGCACTCACTCCATTCACTCTAGTTGTGTTACTCCCATTCCAAAGCCTACGACCCGCGTCACGCACCAGTCCAGACTCAATACCTGCCCAGTAAACAAAGTAGGACTGTACCACCGTGATGCTGGAAAACAGAGGATACTCAGTTTTGTGTTTTCTTATACAAAACTTGAAATTATGTGAAAACGAATCTGTTATTATTTGTAGGCTTACTAGAACCGTATGTCTCCCACTGGTGAATCAGGAGCCCTCCATACAAACGAGAGGTTTCTCTTCAGCTGTTTGTCCGAGTGTGTGACAGTGTCACCCTCCGAGAGGCAGCACAGAGTGTGGGTGCCAGGAGGTGTGAGGATCCAGGAGCCGCCCACCAGCAACGGGCCCCGTCTCCTGGACTTCCTGACACCACTTCCAGCTCCGGTTTTGGGCCATGGCGTGACCCCATAGCTTCCTCCAAATTTGCTGAAGGTACCCTCTGCACGGCGTGCCTGGAGCAGGAAACCCATGAAGTCCCGAGAGCTCCGCACCATTACTGAACAGTCAAAAAAACAAAAGGTAGCCAACATAAACAGATCATGAAGGTGTTTTAATGTCATTCAGCTCACATACCACATTAAAATAACTACATTTGAATAACTATCACAGCAGGTTTGTTGGTTTTTAGTTGGTTTGTTAAGCGTCGCCCATTGTGCTGATAGTACCTGTTATAAACTGTCCAGGGAGGTAGGAAGAGGCAGACGTGCGTATGGTGACCTGTCTGTGCTGCGAGTCCTGAGAGTGAGCACGGATGTGGCTGGGAATCATTTCCTGACAAGAGGCGTGGCTTGCACCACCGGAGAACGATGTGGTGGGCGGGGCCAGTAAGAATAAGACCGCACACACACCCAAACAGTGTAGGGTGGACAGCATCGCTAAAGGTAAATACAAAGTTTATATAGCTCAACCAATTCACTTGATGGACTGAGAGATGATGCAAACAAGATTTTGCTTAGCAGAAACTGAGACTGGATACTGCAAAATAAAGTTGGATAAATGCAACATAAAACCACCATACAGAGCTCAAATATAGTGCAAATGTCACAAAACAATAAAGAGATAAAGTAAAGTATAATGCGTATGAACGTGCATAATGAGCTATAAAATGACTGAACATGGCAAAAGAGAAGCAAATAAACCAAATTAGACGCAAAAGAGGCAAACAAAGAAAAAACTACAGAGATCAAAGGTATTGAAACACACAACATGACATGACTTCACATGAAAAACACAGAAGAAAAAATACAGTGAGGCACGAAACAACTACAACAAAAACCTAAAAAAACAGCCAAACAGAAGCAAACCAACCACCACAAATGTAAACATGAAATGACACAAATAAGATGCAAAAAAGAGGACAAAGACTTGCAAAGTCAACAAAAATAGACACACCAGCTCTGTTAAGAAAAGAAACGTGACTGTAAAGAGGTGCTGACTACTTAGAGTCCCAAAATTATTCAAATTAATGCAAAAAAAATGATGATGATGTGCAAAAACATGTAAAGCAGTGGTCCCCAACCTTTTTTGCGCCACGGACCGGTTTATGCCCGACAATATTTTCATGGACCGGCCTTTAAGGTAAATACAACAAAATAAAACTAGTACTGGTACCCAAAAAAAGAAAATTTATCCATAACACACGTGAAAAGACCAAGGAAAACCGAGTAAACGATAAAAACGATAACAAAATAACGCTGAAAACCAATAAAAACCCTGAAAACTAAACATTTACACACCCGAGCCTCAACTCTCGCGGCCCGGTACCAAACAACTCACGGACCGGTACCGGTCCGAGGCCCGGGGGTTGGGGACCGCTGATGTAAAGCATGAAACACACCAACATGAGAGGAAAAGTCCCAAAACAAGTGATGCAAAAATCTTAAAAGGCTGTTCATCAAAATAGAAAACTAAAAAAAAAGAATATGAACAAATATAGCTAATATATAATTTTAGCTGTAGCCCTGCAACAGACTGTCAACCTGTCCAGGATGCACCCTGCCTCTCACCCTAAGACAGCTGGGATAGGCTGCAGCTGCCCCACGATCCTGAAAAGGATAAGTGGAAGAGGATGGATGGATGGATGGATGACAAAATTCCGAAAGAAAAATATGAATGTAGAGTCTGAATATATCAGGCTATGAGAAAATTACATCAGTTATACTTTTTATTTAAACCAATAAAACTCAATAAATCCTTACAGAAGCACACAAGGTTTATTTCTTGCTTCTTTTTTTTCTTTTTTGCTCCTTTGATACATTTTTTCCCATTTTTAAGCAGCCTTGTCTGTTTGTATATCCTCCTAGGAAAGAGTTCACATGTGAATGGATGAATGGAGCAGTAGTGAGTTTTATTCTTACCTTGTCAGAGCACTAACTTTCAGGATGCCTTTAAAACAACAGCAAGCTCCTGCTTCTTCTTCAGTTTGCACAGATCTTCTTGTCCTGTCAGTTCAGCTGTTGTGGGAAAACCATTTAAAATACTTCAGCTGGGTGAATAAAGTGCTCCTGGAAACTCTGAGGATGAAAGAGTGATCTGGGGCTCCAGGATGTGGAGGAAGAGGGAGGAGGGATGTAGATCCAGAGCATGTAGAGCTGCTGGATTAACAACCTGTGACGTTCAAATGGAAAAACAGTGCATATGTGACGCTGTGTACAGCACAGTACTTTAACTTCTGCATCGTAACTTTCAAAAATAAACAAATATTAAACACAAAAGTACTCCTCATAAAAATAAATATATTTTAGATGATTACCTCAGAGGGGTCTGTGGTTAATTTAAAGCTGATTTATCTGCATTAGGTGGACCCTGCAGGTGCACAGCGTGCTGTATATAAACCTTCTAGATATAAATAAGAAAACAAGATTGTCTTTTGTGTGAACAACAAATCTAAACAGATTCATGTCACTGTGCCGTGTGCAAAGGTTCAAATACCGTCTGTTTTAAGGATTAATGTGACAATACTTATGACAACACTATATACTCAAAAACACGTCATCTTAATTTGTATTTATTCAAAACATTAAAAAAGCATTTATTTAAATTCATTTTCACCATCCGCCATGAAATGGTGCAGAAGGAATGCAAACTGCCCGCATATATAATTTCCCACTCAGCCCATACGCCAGAACGCAACTATTATTACTATTTTACTACTACACCGTTTCATCAATTATTAAAATGTTGATATGTATGAAAGTAACAAATAGTCTGAAATACTTTATGAAAAATATGTCTCAGTTTTTCCACGTTCTGGAAAAAGAAAAATCAGCTAATTTAAAATGACTTAATGATTTGTGTTGTGCTTACTTTGGTGCAGAGTTCAAGGTCATGGGAGAATGTTGTTGGTTGAAGGAAGGCTGTAAGGCTGACGGCAATTCAGACAGAAATGAACAGTTTAGGCTCTCATGATGTGATCCATTCTTAAGGTCAAAATATAACCAAAAAATTCCGAATTTAAACCTTCCTACTCGGCAATACTCCACAGCCATCCCGCAGGCTGGATTGGACCCTTTGATGAGACAGTTCTGGACCCTGGGCCGTATGTTTGGAAACAACTTTATGGTGGATTTGAAACACTCTGTCGCCTTTTTATGGATACATCAAAAGGGAACACTTACAATAAAGTCTCTCTGCACTTTAACATAATAGAATTTGATCATTATTACTCTTATTGCTCTGTTTAAAGATTTCTCTTCTAGTGTGAGGGTTTTCTATGGGATTAAGACCTCCCATCACCCCAGCCACACACTACCAGGATGTACACCAGCTGTGGCCGCCTCCCTCCAGGATCTTGCAGACTTCTCCGCTGACCTCTTCCTCCTCGTCCCTCTGTTCTCATTGTTCTTATTTTGTTGTCTTTCTTCTGCTTAAACATCAGTGATGTTACTCTTCACTTTGAGACATTATTCAGTAGTCACTATCCACTATCACAAGAGCATATATATTATAAGAATAACATCAGCATTAATTCACGAGTCATTAAACTCAAATTTGAATTTTAAGGTTAGATTTAACATCAGAAGAAGGAAGAAATTTATTTATAAAAGACGATTCAACCCAAAAACCTTCACAAAGAGGTCAAAACGTTTACGTCAACATTAAAACAGAAGTAAAGTTGGTTCAACAGGATCGGCAAGGGAAGAAATATCTAAACTGAACATCAATGCCGGAGCTCACTGAGTTTTCATTTTCATGGACAGAGTAAAATGTTGTCTTGCTATTTCTCTATTATTGTCTCTACTTTTTTCTAGTTGTTTTATTTTTCATTCCAATGCCTTCTAAGTTAAGTGTAAGTTTGCAAAAAATAAACAGGTGTGTCTTTGACATCTGTTTTCTTCCATCTCTTCACAGCTTCAGATCACACCAGGAGTGTTTCATAAGCATTCTGTCACGGTTCGCTGAGGACTCACACACAGCACTCTGGAGCTTGTGATGATAACAGTGGGATTTTTTACATGTTTCACCAGGTGTATGTACAGACAGTGGGTTTAGAAGTGGGATTTTACTTAAAAAGGGGGTAATAATTCACAGCCCGGCGCAAACGTGAGGTGCTGTCTAACAGCTTGATGTTTGTTATATTTTAGCTATTATTGTCACATGAAAGTAAAACTTAATGGGATAAATTAGGGTTTATGTTGTCTTTTAAAAAAGACGAAAAGGGGGTGAACTGTCATGTATTTAATATATATTCTTAGTGCTTATTTGCTGATTATATTGTTTTATGTATAAGAGAGGCCCAACTCTGAGTACAGTGTGTGCCAAAAAGTACTGACAGGAAACTGCATGCTTTTGCAGAGAAAATAGGAGCTGCAGCCAGAAAGTGAAACTAAGCAGAGTGTTTGATCAAAACTTAAAGTGTGTGGGACGTCTAGAGCAGCGGTCCCCGGTTGAGGCTCAGGTGTGAAATGTATAGTTTTCAGGGTTTTTATCGGTTTTCAGTGTTATTTTGTTATCGTTTTTATCGTTTACTCGGTTTTCCTTGGTCTTTTCACGTGTGTTATGAAT